AACAACGCAGCAGCCAGTGCCCAGCTCAATCATCTCGTTGTGGTATGCTCTGCGCCTTTTGTTGTTGCGCAACTGTAGCCGTCCCAGTTGCAGGGACTGCAGGTCGGGACACCGTGCACCAAGCTGAGTGTACAAATCTTTCATCATGGCTTGTGCCGCTGTGGCAGTCACAGTGTATGCCATCGCCACCACAACTTGCAACCCTTGCTCAACAGGCAGTTCCCAGGCTGGTCTCACAAGCATGCATTGGGCTCAATGCAGAATCCACCACAGGTACAGTATTTATCAGCACTAGCTTGCCTGACTGGCATGCATTAAGTATGCAGATGGGGACGCTGGCCCTCACCAGTAGTCTAGCAAGCTCGGGTGCTCTCGCAAGGTCCACTTTGGCGCCACCAATCCCTTCCAGCATCAGAAATGCATTGACACCTTTGCAGGGCAGCAATCGTTTTCGACAGTGTGGCTCATCGTCGAGTGCCTGTTTGGACTGGCCATAGTTCAAAGGAGCAGCGTGAGAGTCAACGTGCACCATATGGTAGTATCCCGGTCCCCTGGCCCGCAGTTGCTCAGTCAGGGCTTCGTGTGTCCCAGGCTGCAGTAGCTCAACGTTCACTCTCTCAGCTTGCCCACCTGTACAGCCTCCACCACAGGCCGTGATACTGTGCGGTACACAACATCCCCCTCCCCATCTGGTAGCGCCATCACGATGAGCAAGTTTAGAATCGAGGATGCCTCAATAGGGGCTGGTAGTGGGCCCTGGTCCAGCGACCTCCGCACAATGGAACAGTCAACAGAGAGTCGCCGGGGCTGATACGGATCCCACAAAGCCTCCCAATGTAGAGAATGAAAATTCGGCGATTGACTTACAGTCTCGATCGTCACCTCGCTCATGCTGTCCAGCAGCTGCGCATACTCATTCAGGGATGGTTCACAGGCAAGAATCTCGGTAAACAGATGTGTCGCATAATTCTGGATGCTCCGGGCCGCCCGATCTGCGACGGCTCTGTCGGCGAATGGGAACTTCTGCCAGGTTCAAAGTACAGCTCCAGCTCATCCTCTTGCTTCTTCCGGAAAGGATTTGTGATGAACACCTCATAGGCGCCTTCCCCATCGATTCTGAGATCTGCATCAAACCCGCAATCTGGGGTTTCTCAGATTTCTTGCAATGGTGATCTTGCGCATGGCGACAAAATCTGCGCAAAGCGGAGCAATTTTCTCAGCTGTGGAGCATAACATATTCATCGGTCAGGCAGTGGTGCCTATTGCTACTGGATTTCGAAGAAACGCATAGGCAGTTACCGCGGAAATTGGAAAATATTGGCATACGCATTTTACCGGTGACCGATCTTGGTGAATTGCAAAAGAAGATATGTTGGCAATTGGAAAACCTTGGCATCGGCCTGCATCACAATACGTAGATGGTTGTTGTAAATTTCAGGCAAGCGCAATGGAATGTGATTCTGTCGATGGGTGGACAGGGCAAGAGAGATTGCAGCTCTTGGGCAGAGGGCAAAACAACTTGGTGCTGCGGACAATCCCGCAGAAATTTCTCTTGGATGCGACACTGCACTTGCACCGTCAATCAGACTCCTTGGAATATGAACACAAGAAGTTGCTGTGCATTTGTCCAATGCTAAGAAAATCTCTGAATACCGTATACCGAATACCGTATACACTTGATCCCCAATGGCCTCAGATTCCTTGATTGTCAGTTAGGGAAAGCAGGCCAGTGGAACGCTATGGGGAAGGCAGCTCTGTTCATGGAACACATTTTATGGACTCAGATAGCGATCATTCACACAGACATTTTCCTCTCTTGTGCTCCAAATGGCAAACAAACGTTTCTCATCTCTTCAATGGATCTTGTCACTCTGTGATTCCATCAACTACTGTCCCGTAGTCAAACGGGCCTTGGCCACTGCATTGACAAATTGGCTGTTTTCGTCAAGGAATCCGCATCGAGTGCTGTTGGATTACGGTCAGCAAGTGGTGCGCTTGGAAAATTCCAGTGTCAATGCCGACGTGGGGACAGGCGCCCTTGCGAGACGTGCAAGAAACTTCTCTTGCACCATTCGCCACCCGCCGCATGGTTTGTCAACGCCACCCTAGATGGGAAACAGGTGCGCCACAAGATTCTTACAGTCAATGGACAGATGGACCCTGTTCATGCCGCTTTGTGGCGGGACGAGAGAACTCAAAACGAGCGCAGCAACATCATCATGTCAGTGGGCAGTGGCTGCACTCTGTTTCAAATGACCCTGGGGAGGTGATCGCCATCTTCGATCCAGCTCTTTCCCCTCGCGGTTGCCGTCCACGACACCAGGGGCATTCGCTTCTCGATAGATTTCCCGCCTTCAATTGGCCGACCGATGCAGGACAAAAGGGCCTTCTGTCCACAATGGGAACTTCCGAGCACTGCGAGCTGGAATACACAGTCCCTGTGCAATTTTGACACTCCGCGTCAAATTAAGGTTTCGCAATTCAGGCGCACTCATGCAGTTCCGCCTGCTTCTGGAAGAATGGCAATCTTCACCGCGATGGTTCACAGTTCGGGCTAACAGGGCCAACCCGGGTGCGGATGGCACCCCAAAAGCGTTCAAGTCACACATCCTGATCGGCCCCAGGACAGAAGGCCCGACAGGCCATGTCGATCGAACCATTGTGCATGCACTGCCGATCCCAAATTGACCTTTCTCGCCCAGCACTCCGGTCGTTCCCATTCCTCCAATCGCCTCTAGAGTCCCAATCTCGGGCGACGTCACCAGATTTCGCCACCACATCTTCTTTTCCGAGAAGCCAGGGAAGGACCTTTATTGCAGCAACGTCCATGTGGCGCCAATCTCAGGAATTAGGGCCAACCCCGGGAGTTTTAAGGCGCTTCGTTGCCCGTCGACCCATTGTCCTGCCACGGGACGACACCGACGAAGGCAGGCAGGGTCGAGGGGTGGCGACTGGGGAAATAGGCTCGAGTACACGTCAACAGTTTACAGCGGAGCAAAGGGACAGCAGGAATTCTGTACCTTAAACCCAGTCCGTTCATCAATGTCCAATGCAATTGCGAATCCCTCATCACCTCTGCGCGTCCAGCTGTTAATTATACCCAATCAGTTCTCATTACCACAACACGTTCTGAGCAATGCTAACTTGCCGCTATGTCCCATCAATGTCCTGTCCACAGGGCTGGGCGACTTTGAAGAGCTCAAGTCTGGGAGTTTGTGGACTATAGGCTTTTCACATGAACAGAAGCGGCTCATCCTCGCGGTCCATTAGCTCGGGATTCCAATATTCAAAATGGCAGGTACGTGTGGTGACTATGCTGGGGGTTGGTGACGTTGTGTCGCAATAACGCTTTCCAACTGAAAGGACATTGACATGTGATGGCCGCACCATCTCTTCAGCGCAACGAGTGAAAGGAATCTCACTTCTTTTCCTCGAAGCATGGACAGAATCCTCGGATGTTCACTTCTTCAGCTGTGATTGAGCCTGCCTCACCGGATTCTCGGATCTGCACGACAATCTTGGCGCTGATGGCAATCGCGCCGCCCCGCTTCTGTTTCTGCCGAGCAATTTCTTCATATACAATGCGACAAGGCATGCCAAGGCAAACCTGAGGAATCAGATTCGTCCTGCAATGTCCACTGTTGCAGCTTGTGTTTCAGGGGGTTCGTGAGCAGGTGGGTTGCCGGTCGGGATAAGGCAGCTTGGTGCAAGGACAAGAATGCACACATTGGCGTGTTAAATCCGTGTTCATCAGGTTCGAGAACGGAGGCAAGCATGAGTCCAAGTTCTCTTGTGTAAGGTCCATGGAATGGACGTGACTACGTATTTCAACCCACCCTGTCGTTCTGGCATGCCATGTTGGTCTTCTCATGTGGTGCATGTGCGCGCTGATGCATTGGTTCATGTGTGCATCGATAAATCGAGTCGATGTCAACAGTTCTCTGAAAGTAAGAAAGCAAGGCAATCCATTTGGGAAAGCACTCCAAAATGCGAAATAGACAAGGTCCAAGGCCGACAAAAAAACGCTCTTGCTGGCTTTCCGCTGTTCGAAAACCAATTTCAGCAAGAGTACAAACTGGTGGTTCCACTAATCCCAATGTTTAACTAATCTGCCTAATCCCAACGATTGAAACATTGGGATTATTGTTTTACTTGCTTACTCATTTATTTTCGTTCCAAATCACCAGCAGAAGACAGCCTGTTTGCCATGCCAGTTGCAACGCCATTCGACACAAATTGGTGCCATTGCAGCCACTTTTATTCCATCGCAATCACTGTGACGGCATCAATTTGTGTCAAAATAGCATCGTAGTTGGCATCGCGGACATGCCGTTTTCTACCAGTGAATGTGATGTAATATTTGGAATCAGAAAATGTAATACCAGTGTTTGAATCGTGCATTACAACGTTCAAATGCGTCCAGGTACTGCCCTCCTCGGCACATTTGGTAAGCCCAGCAGTGGCAGCGCGAAGTGAACGCCCTCTGATTACCTTTGCCGAGAAACACGCCTCAATCTGACCATCGACGACGTCGCATGATGACGCCATCTCATCAGCGATGACGTCACCCTATCCCATGCACATCCTTTGTTCGAAAATTCCCGTCCATTCCCCCTCGCTCGCTGGCTCTAATAAGAAACGGTTCCGGAAAAAATCGTCTGTTCATCTAAATGCAAGCAAAATCCATATTCTGGTGCATTGGACACGACAAGCGGCGACGGGGACGGCCTGGCCACCTCGTTTGAGGCAAATTGCCACCTTTCAGTACTTAAGCAACATGTGCAGCGGCACATTTGCCCAGTACTCCAGGACCACGTGCAGCGGTCCACTTCCCATGCACCCCAGCAGGGGATTCCGCAGTGCACTTGCCCATTACATTACAAGCACCTGCACTCCTGGGCGGTGCGCTCGCCCAGCGCTCAAGCGGCGTGCGCAACAGTACATTGGGCTTGAAATTTGGCAGCATGCGCAGCAGTGCTTTTGGACAGTACTTTGTGCAGTCACCTCTTCCGTTTTCCCCCCGCCCCACCGCGCCCCCTGCCTCGGCCCCTTGACCCACCAGCGGCCGAGGTTTCTTTAAAGAGCTCTTCCGCTGCCTTTTCCCGCATGTGCCTTTCCCGAGCCTCCCTGCAAAACCGCAGAATACAACACTTGAGCGCATTAAAAATTAATTAGGATTTTCTGCGAAACATTTGCAAATAATGATGAATAATTAGAAACATTGTGCAATTAAATACAAAATGCAATATTCTCTTGAAAATAATGACGAATGTTTGAGGTATTCGGGAATATTGAAAATGTTCCAAAGTGCAGTGTATAGGAACTCCAAACGCGCGCAAGAAAATCTCTTCGTGCAGCACTTTCCAGACAGCGGCGGTATTTTCCAGTACTTGTGAGTGTTCCACACAGCGCGCAGTACTTTTCAAGCAATGCTTTTGAGTACTGTGTTCCGGGACAAAGTACAGGCAAACGGTATAAAAGCGCGAGTACAAAGTACAGTACAATACAGTACAAGTACAACTAAAGTGCAACATGAAGGGCACGTTGATTTATTGCCGGCATCGACTGTGCCAAGTACTTTGTACTGTGCTTCCGCTCAGTGGCCACAACGTCCAATGCATTGCGCAGTACACCGCCAACCGCGTTCGCCCCCACCTCAAGAACATCTCTCCATCCACCATGGACTCCCTGTACGGCTCCTCAGAGAAAGGCACGACCACACGGCCCCTGCCCCACGTTCCCACCACTTTCTTAAATGCCTTGAAATTTGGCGCCCCCGGAATTCCAGAAGCCGCCCTTTTGTTCGAGCCGGCGACGGACACCTTGCGGCCCCCGCCCTTGGTCATCCCCGGTCCGCTGACTAGTAGATTTTCCATGACGACGGTCAACGTTTGGTCAACGATCGCTTGCGGCGCTTCAAGCCCATCCGCCATCGCTTCGCCAGGTTCTGTCGCCGCCTCGGTTCCCGCCCTTTTCGAATTCGAAAGGCGCCATTTGGCCCCGCCATTTCGCAAACCGTCGTCCCCTGCCCCTCCCCCGCCCTTTCCGCTCCCTTGCCCTTCATCAGCCGAATGTGGCTTTGAGGCTGACGGAGTGGTTTTCTGGGCGCCTGCTATTGGCTTCCGGGAAGCTTCCGTGGGCCTCCGGTCCCATCCTGCCAGCTTCCGAGCAGGCTCTGCACCTGGAGGAAAAGGACCGCAAGACAGGGTTTTGCAATTGCATGGTTGTCCCGATGCATCAACAGGTGGATTGCCGATGTGCGCTTTTTGTTCATTTGCCCCCAAGCACAATACACCAGCACTTTAAAACCATAGCATGTCATCCAATTATTGCGAAAACGCACATACTCAAAAACTGACCGAAGCTGCGCAAATCAGACAATTTGGCATAGTCACGATATCCACATGATCATGGTACATGATCCAACATTGTAATACGCATATAATCATTGCAAGCAGTGACTGCAAGTGCATGGCTTCCAGCGCACATTCCAGCCGCCTCTGAGACATCACTTCGAGCGCAGACCGCTTTGCGACTCGCGGAGAGGTGCGCAGCTTCTTGGCTCCCGCCTCCTCCTCATGCCCTCCTTCCTCGTCCCCCAGCGCATCATCGCCAGCTGCACCCTGGCCCCTGCGCCGCCGTTTGCTGGGCGTCTGTGCTGCTTCTGCTGCCGTCTCGCGCTTTCGCTCACCCAGCCCTCCCTGCCAAGCTTGGGCGTTGCCTGCAGGAGCACAAACAAGTCAGAGTATTTTTGACAGGTCTATAGGACAGTTCTGTGTCACTTGTTCTTGGCTAGGTCCATGCACAAACAAGTGGCTCAAAACTGCACTGTGGAATTCCAGTCTCATCCCCATTTTCCCAAAACAAAGTTGTTTGCCTCAGTTTCCTTTCCATCCCGCAGCAGTTTTGAACTTGACCTGTGCAAATCGCATTCTGGGTTTTTGGTGTCATTGCTGTTCATTGCAGTCTTAATCAGTATCTAGTGCTTGATGCCACCACATGAGGACTTTATGCCTCGGCACAATGCCCACTTTGCATGAAAGGACGTTGGCAAATTTTGCCGTTGCTGCGTTTTGTTTATTCGACGTTCTTTGTTTGATGCAGAGCTGGAAATCTCAATCACATGAACAACATTGGTGGCGATGCTGTTAGTATCAACCTTTCAGAAAAACTGTACAACACACTACTACAAAGTACTGAGTTTCACGCCACTTTCCCCATAACATCGTTTTTAAAGCTTAAAAACCATTCAGCGCGCCCTTCGGCGCACAGACCTGTGGCTGAGGCGAAAATATTATTCATAGTTCAGCACTTCGAAGTATGGAACAAACCAAACTTCTGAAACATTGTAAACTATAACATAGCAAAAGCAAAATATGATACAAAGCACAAATAGGTAAGTGCAAGCATAGTATAAAGTACAAGTATAAAACTGCAATTGCAAAAGTTTTGGTTGCCACTCAGCGAAATTCTGATACCCTCAAATTGTGTCTGTGTATACAAAATATTCGACCAGGAAGGTTTGTGCTTTTAGTCCACCTTCAGGAAGATTGTATTATATGCTGCAACAATATGCCTGTTCGAATATTGGTTGTCGAGAAGCACAATGACAATTCAACGGAGATGGCCCACCATTCGAGTTTCTTAAGTACTGGGCATAGTCACTGTCGTTCGCGCCCTTTCCTCAAAGTATTGGCAGCGCATGTGACGGAAGGGGGCCACTTAAACGAAGCAGCTCAATCAAGGCGGCCAGCCCTGCGGCCCATGTGCAGCTCCGCAAGCGCCAATTCGCAGAAAACGCGTCGCTAGTACTTAAGCAACACAAAGCGTGCTGCAGTCGCCCAGTACTTTACAGCAGAATGGTACATGCGCACAGCACTTCATGTGCTGGTAACCCACGTGACTGGTCCTCGGCCTCGCTGTCCCCAACAGTTTGTGGTTCTTCCTTCACCTTCCCTTCAGATTCCCCGTCAGTGGTGTCGTCATCGTCCGTGGCCACAGTTGGGGGAAGGATGATGGAAGCATCACACAGCAGCACACCTTCCTGCGTAGAGCCACAGCAACTACCAACACTCATTACTAGTGCTACACAGCCACTAGTGCAATCTTTCAATTGTGTTTCAGTACATTCTTAGTGCATAAACGCGCATCAACAGTGCCATATTTTAATATTGTGTGAGCAGATTCTATGCATATCATAACACATCAACAATGCCACACTTCAGTTGCACGGAAGTCCTTTCTTGCACACCGCTGCCCACTAACAACGCCATACTTTCAATGCATTGGCGCGGTGGCATATCTTCGCCAATGCTGGCAACGTTATCTCCAGATTCACGAAATGCTAGGGTTGAGCCCTGTCCTCTACTTGAGGGCACACACATTTTTCACATCTACACACATGCACACATACTATATAAAATTGTCAGATAGATGCACATTACAAATATGTGTGAATGCATCCAATATAACTTGAATACATATAAAGTTTACATTATGAACACATTGCATGTGCTGAAAAATTAGTCGACTTTCACTAGGAAAAAACGGCCCAAATTACACGTGTTCAAACGTGTACAAAATTCACGGGTTTGATTCATTTCCGTGCTTTCAGCACGCAGAACACTGCTGAAATGCACATACATGTGTGTTTGCAAAAACTATGATTTGGTCCTCTTGCTGCTAGTGTCTAGAATCGAGTCGATTGCGAACACGTTCGCCAAAGCCACCTTCTCACCACGAGCCTGGCTTCGTTGGTGCAGCGACGCCACTTTTCGTTCGGGTCTTCGAGGACGGGCCCGCCTCCCCTTCTGACGGCCACGCAATCTGCCGGGTCGCGCGATTTCAACTCTTTGCCCTTCAAATTATGGCCCCCCGCCAGCGCCACCATTCGCTGGATTCCATCAGCCTGGGAAATACAGCACCGCGTGATGCGCAAACAGGAAAGTACAACCAAGACTCAGGAAGCCTGGAAATGCAGCCAGGGAAATACAGCACCGCGTGATATGCGAACTGGAAAGCACAACCAAGACTTAGGAAGACTGGAAATGCAGGCGGGGAAATACAGCACCACGCTGACTTGTGAACATTTGTCATGAAACTTTTTTGGCATCAGTATGATGATGAGGGTGTCGTCATAACGCATACTTGTGCATCAGAGAGTTTTGCCGTTGCACTTTTTGCTCCGCATTTTGGTTTTCAGAGCGCTGTTTTATTTCTTTTTATGTGACTCTGAAAAAAGACCAAGCGTGGCGTGGATGTAATAACTACTATGCGGAAGGGTTCAGTACTTTATGGTACGGGTCATAATACTCTCGACATAATACGGGTCTGATACGTGCTCCCACAGCTATACATCACTGCACAGTTACGCCATGTTAATGCAGTGTTGTTACACAGTACGAAATGCATTGCATCATTGTCTTCCCAAGCACTTAACCGTGTGTCCGATGCTCTCAAGCCTGTGTCGCGATAAATGCCATAAGGCTACAAGCCTTATGGTACAAGAACTACTCCTGAGTACGCAGTAAGTTCTCAGGAGCATTTCTTGCACCATTTTTTCCAGTTCTTCAGGAGCGAGGTGTTGTAGACATAGTTGAGATCTTGTGGCATGAGACGAATTCATGACGCAATCAATGTCATGACACAAGTGTGTAACGACGACATGACGCAATGTGCGGGTGGAACCTGCACGGCATTTGATCACAAGGAGGATCCGGCGGCATGCTGCTCAGCAAATCGTTGCGTAAAAAGAAGTGTCGACAACGGCAGCACAATTCAATTTCGTGTTCAAAATGATCCAATCGATTGGTTAGATGAATTGAATGAATGATTGTTCGCTGATATTCCCACATGAATTGATTGCAGTATTAATGCGTTGCGCATAAAGCTGGCGACGGCACACAGCGTAAAGGGCCAACAGCAACCTTTCGGCAAATGCGACACAGCCAAGCGCAATTAGCACGATGCAGTGCTGCTAAGTACTGATCTTTGCACCGCTATTCCACAAACAGTGTTGCACCCACGTATTGCTTCTCCGGCCACGCAAAGTACATGCCCTCCAGCAGTGGCCTGCACCCGTCTGCAGGTCTCCGGATGGCAATGCAGCCTCCCCCAGCCTCCGCACGGCACCTGCTCTGCCACTAATAAATGGTCAAACTCATCAATCAAATTTCGCCCCCTGAATCAACGCACTTGTCTAGCTAGCCAATCAATGGATTGATGAGCACAAGCACGAAGCACAGACACAATGAAGCGATGTGTGCAGCCGTCACACAACATGTTTCAAGAAAACTGGTACAAGCAAGTACTGTAAAGTGCTGTGCCCTATGGCACTATAGCATCGCAATTCGTTTTGCACGTGGCAGCATGTGGCACGCCTCCCAACTGACATCGTCACAAATCTCTCCTTTAAATAGACGGCAATTGCTATGGGGCATAGGAAGCATATGCGACGATGTTCAACACGACGCAATATTCGACACAGAGGGGTCCCACCTGTTGGGGCAATGGTGCGTCTCCCAGGTCAGGCCGCCCTTGGCCAGCCTCGATCGCAGCATGTCTCTCGCCCTTCACACATATGCACACATCTCCTCCAAATATATGCGCAACTAAATGCATATGCAAAATTCAATATGTATGCACAAATTTCGCATAAACCGAAGCTAACAGCGCCGTACATCGAACGCTGATAGCATCGGCCAAATAGTGGCGTTCCTTGGTTTTGCTTCTTCCTCATTACTCATTACTCATTACTCACTACTCATTACTCATTGCCCACACTCTAGTATGCCAGTTCTGCAGTAAGCTCCATCAGAACGACATACATTTGAGAAGCTTTGCCATTCATGCTTGCAGCAAAGAGTGGTACAGTACAGTACTACGAAGTACTGAGGCTTGTACCACTTTTCCTAAAAGCAGGGTGGCCGGGGGTTGTGGTCACCTTAACTTAAGTTAAGAAGCTAAAGACTTTACGTTTAATAAGTTCTTTAGGAAGAATGAGGGCATTTCACGCCAGCAGCTCACCACTCCGGCGTGACCAGCGGCTTGCCTTTCAAAAGGCCACAGGCGGCCGCAGGCGTTGCCACCTGACCGTCGCCCAGCTCAACGTGAGTGCACGAAGGATCCCATCTGGGCAGCAGGCAGCCCCCTGCGCAGTGGCAGCGGATCAATACAAAAATGCATTGAGGAGGACTGAAAAAATATCGAATATTAAAGGTGGACAAAATAATTAATTGATAATTATGAGTGGGTAAATTAAAAAGGATAGAAAGGGTTGGCGCTGGGTCAGCAGCATCAAGGCTGGTTGGAGAGAGTGTTCTGCTTTTCGATTGGCTAGGAAGCCGCCGTCCTTTGAGGGCTAGAAGGCGATGTCGCGAAAATTGATACAAGGCTCAGTACTTTGCGTTTTCATCATGTACTGTAAGTATGAGTCTCCGAGCTTGTTGTGGTGGCTTCTTGCATGAAAGGATATTTGCTTGGGGGGCGTTTCCCTCAAAAGCGATGAACCACAGGCCTCACATCTTCAACGCGATAGTGAGCATGCGGTGGATGGCAGCTTCCATTTATCAATTCGGAAGCCAATTAACAAATCAACTAACCATCAACCTATCAATCACAAAAGTAACAGAATAACAAAGCTATCACTTAATGCCGATTGTTGGCATTAAGCATTAGCGCTGCTATTTTGCTGTTCGCTCAATTATTCAGCCACGTGCCAGTTCCACTGAAATGCATTGTGATACACGCACCCGTGACCTCAATCAGCTCATTCAGAACGTCCATGTCGGTGTCCTCTCCACCGACGCACAGACGAAATGGTTGCCATTCCAGCCTGCACCACAAGTCCACTCGTCAGTGTACGATGGGAAATAGACTAATGCAATAGTTCACATTTCCCATACATCCCTTGGGCAAGCAGAGCAGCAAGATTGACACAGGAAAACAAAACCAGGCGGCAAAAAAACACAAAAAGCAAAAAAAAAGCGAAACAGGCTTGTTATTGCGGCCTGAACACTTTCAATTTACGCTTATTTACATGTAACAGTGGTTTTTATTTGTCTACGCGTAAATAGCCGCAGAACGTGATAAAAATCGGCCCTGTGTACTTAAGGACAGTACGCACAGACTAATAGAATCCGGGGAGTGGCAGCTGGACGCGCTAAAGTGTGCTTCAAACGAACTTTTGCTCGGCGACGTCGTTGGCCTTGCTCAGTGCGAGGTGTGCGCTGGCTGCTGGTGCCAGAGAGACTGGAGGATTGATCGCTTACTGGGGTTCATCATCATGGAACGTGAAGATCGAAGAGAACAAGCGAGTTCCATGTAGCCTAATGTTGCACCTATGCCTTGTGTCCTGCTGTGCTTTTCTGTTTTCTTCGATTTGTGGCATTCAATCCCACAAAGAACAATTTTGCCATGAACGTCTTTGCGGCTGCCAGGCATGCATATGGCTGCCACGAAATCTCCCTGGGCAATAATTTTGGCCATCAGCAACAAGCTGTCGACCACTCAACACCCTGCAAGGTATTTCGCTCTACAGATGCCGAGCAAGTGCGATACACATCCTCGCCGGAAATTAGCTCCATTTGTTCAGTTTGGCTATTTCAGTTACTCAGGTTGCTGGATATAGAAAACACACACAAGTTCAAATCAACATAGAGTCATTAACGATCCTCGCTCAGTACATCTGCAGAATCGTGGCACAGCACCGCCCTGACACGCTTCAGGTGATATCGTTTGCTCGCATTGCATGATATAATTCCAAGTTCAGATACTAAATCTTGACTAACTTCATTCAACTTGAACCTGATATTCAAACACAAAGGCATAGATAAGCTATATTATATTCAAGGACGGAATCGGACACACCTGAATTTGAATCTGAACTAACTTCATTTAAACTAAAGCTGATATTCAAACACAAAGGACGTGTATAAGCTATACTATATTCAAGTAACAAATCGGACCCACCTGAATTTAGACTTGGCCAACTGGATGATGTTCCCGTCTCCTGCCGCCACGAAATCCTTGCCCAATTTGGTGCCGTCCACTTGGGTCCCAAATTTGCTCAAATCTGCAGAGGCACGAAGAGTTGTGCACAAATTGCCACACATGGACTTTGGCATCCCTCTACTGTATCACAGACAACCACGCAAGGCATGCAACATGAGTGCAGTCGGCACCAATGTATTGATTGCAACTGCAGTGGCCGAATTCCCCTCTGTGTGTTTGCCTTCAAAGGAGGGGTGTGCCAGTGTGCAACACTGCCAGTGTGAAGACGCAACAGGCTTGTCGGAGCTAAGTGCTCGCCAGTGTGGCTGAATTAACCATGCACCACATAGTCCCATTGCATGATCCCAGCACATGTTTCCTTGCATCTATGTTGCTTCACTCCCTTTCGCTCGCTTGTCCTCTTGCACCTTTGCCTTCCCAAACGAGTCCAAGGCCACGCCGGGGATCTTCACCCATTCCTGGACCCGAAGAAACCCGTGCAACGCCCCTCACCTCGCAGTCGGAACGCCAGTCGCCCCCCACCCTCCACAGCTTCCACACACACTTCTGCATGCCGTTTCGACACGGCAGCATCCCGGATAACGATGTCTGCAGCCTGCTTCGCCGATCCCTTCACATCGCAAACAAATTTGGTCAAGAACGAAAAAACACACCACACAAGGCCCAATACTCCAAATGTTTACACCCCAAATTTATTTGTTCACTTGCCTCAATGCCAGTGCTGTAAAGATTTGACAACGTTATCCACAGTGTGGAAGCATTCTTCACCAGGATAGATCATTTACCACCATGCAAAATTTTCGTGGAAACAGAGTCACATCATCTCGTTCATTATTTGGTGGCCACTGCGTATCTGCATCTATATACTGCAACAACAAATCTCGAAGATATAAATGCAAGATTGCTGTTGCAAGATATAGATCTTGCAACAACAAATCTGGCTTTCTTGAAACTGAACATTCATCTAGATTCAAACAATTTTTGGGCTTTACAATGCCTTGCACATGTTCGCTTGGTGGCGCAAGGCCCAAATATCCTGCGGTAGAATGGGGGAGGCAGTTGGACACTGAAATATAAAGTAATATTTTGGAATCAAAGAAAAAATCTGGAAACCTCCCTTCCAGCCAACAATTTTGCAAGTCTCTTTTTGAAGCCGATGAGTCCCTTTTCTAAATGACAGATGATAATGCAAAAGCTCCAAGTGCAACTTGAAAGCACCTGCAGAACAAGGATAGTGGGGGATGAACGAGCAGTAGTCGGCTGCTGCTGTTCCCACCGTTGCAAGGCACTTGGCAATGGATATGGGCTGCTGACGAATGCCACCCTTGGAGTTCTTACACAGGACAGCACACCAGGCGCGCACCTTCTGATCCCTTTTACTGGATGCATTTCTGGATGTCTATTTCAGCGTTCTGAATTATGACACCACATTGAGAACATGGAGAGCGTTGGGGCTGCATTTGCAGCAATGGACTTGCCAGAAAATTGCAGTTTCGTTTGTGGCGTGCAGACCTTGTGACATCCAAAAAAAAAAGATGAAAAAAGGAAAGCAAAACACAGAATGCAAAGGGGATGAGATTCCAGGCTGCATTCCGCTGGGCAACACTGTTGTAGGCACATTGTAGATCTGCCGATTAGGGACAGAGATGGGCAATGTAGTAGATGTGATGCAATATATTGGAATAAAAACAAGAATGGAAGGGATGAAGCCATGCCATTCTCCAGCGTTGATGCTCCTGTGAGCTGAAGATCCATCCCAACAATGACCCCCGGTGATTGTCTTTGTAGTCATGAGAGTTGTGTGCTGTTGCCAAGAATCATGAGGCCCTGCAGGCCACTAGGAACTGGATAATGTCAGACGATCTGACTTCCACAGATGCACATGACCCGTCCAGTGTCTTGTGTTCTCACGTTGATTTTTAAGACACCCTCATTCCTTTCTTGATTCTTTCCCTGCAGTTGCCCAAGGATTTAGCCTAGCATTCATGGAGGCCTTTCTTGTGGCAATGTGAATGCCCGCTGGCGCCCGGCATCGCTTTACAGTTCCAAGGGCCATAATTTGTACCGTTTGGACGAATGCAGTCTCACGATCCGCGCAACAACACCGGCAGCCATACAAACGCACTTCACCGCAAGCTAGCTCAGCAGGGAGTGCACCATTGCATGACCTTTTCTTGGGTGTCGCTAACACATATCCTGGCACATGCACGCAGAATTCACGTAACACTGGCCCAAAGATGGGTGCTGGCACTTGGACATGTGCACCACGACTTGTCTTTTGCTTGTGCCGTTGACGTAAATTTCAGTTGTGGGATTCATTGCAATAAGCAACAACACACCTTCACGTGCCGCCCGATCGTGAAGTGGCCGCAAGCCAGATAATACGGCCCGTCCGCGCCGCTCCCCTCCAAGGGCACCAGCACCCACATGGCTGGCTGCCCCCGGCCCAGTGCAGCGACTCCGCCGTCACAGAATGCTCCCCGGCTTCATGGACTGACGGGCGTCGCGCCCAAGCTCAGGCACCCGAGGCGGAATCGGCGCGCAAAGGCTCGCAATGTGCGCTTGCAAATTTTGGCACCCAAAGGATTGGAATGAGCACATCAGCACCTCGGCGCCCAAAGATCTGGACTCAGAGCACTTCCGCACATTGACAAGCAAAATGTTCGGAACAGCACTTCAGAGACATAGCCCCCAAGGGTCTGGAATCAGGGTCTGGAATCCCGAATTTGACGCCGAAAAGTTCGCCAAATAGGCCAACGCCGAACTTGGGCACCCAAACCAGCTCCACGGATCAGCCCTTGGGGGGGGGGGGTAAGGTTGTGGATGTTCGAGGAGAGGCTCAGGGGGAGGCGCAGGCCGGGAAAGGGCGCAAGTCGCGAGCGAGCCCCGCTGTTGCGTTCCTGGCACACGCGATTTTCGGCCCCCGGCCTGTGCACAAGAGCCACGCTGGTCCCTTGAAACACCCGTCACGGTCACGCCGAAGAGAACGGAGACGGGCACCAAGATGGGTCATGGCCCCTAATTAGGGACTAATTCCTACCTTATAAGGTAGGAATCCTAACGTAGGAATCCTACCTTACGACAGGGAGTTTGCGAGTTAGGGTTTTGGGGTGACTGGGCGCTAGGTTTAGGCGTCTTGGGGCGTTTGGGTGCGTTCGCTTTTTGGGTCCAGGGTTCATGCACGTCGTGTAGGGTCTCCGTTCTGCCGCACGGGCGCCAGGACTCAAGCATGACATGCAATCGAGGCCGCATCCCTCCTTCCCCTCCCAACATTTGAGAGACATGGAGGCGGTGCCCGGGACAGATCAAAGCGGTCACGCAGTGTCGCTTCATGGGTTACGAAATCTGGCAGAAATCAGTCACCAAACCGCTGCGTTTCATTTCCTGCTCGCTAGCCGCGGCACATGCACGTCCTCGCAGGTAGCTGGTGGCGTACAGCCGCCAAGTTGGGGGGTTGTTTGTACGCAGAAATTCGCCTAACAGCATATGCGGAGCGTGCCCTGCAAAGGGCGCAACCACTGTCACGTGGCCGTTCTCCATGATGCAGAAGTATAAGCAGGCGTCCATGCGCACAGTCACGTGCACGTGCGTAGACAGACGTAGAGACACGCGCATACGCCACCAAAGGCCGCGCCAATGATCCCGACGTTAGTTGGCGAACCGGGAGATGTCCGCAAACACATGCCAGCGCGAGCCATGGGCATCGCGATGGCAGATACTAAGCACACAGACGGATGAGTTACAAGTGGCTCCAAGCTAGGTGTTTCGGCGAACAAGTCTGAACGAAAAAATCTGAATGAAAACCCGAAGAAAAGGATGCACCCGATGACACAGCACCGCATGCCAGCCAGCCGCACAGCCCCCGAACGCAAAACAGCGCCGCCTTGCGCGATTTCGTTCTGGTCACAAGTCCCCCACACAAGCCGCCAGGGGCAGGCTCTTTGCTTTGCAGGCCTTGCCCTTGACGGCGTTGAGGTTACGAAATCAAATGCACACACTGCATTCCAGCAGCTTGGTGGACCTGCCTGGCTTATGGGTCCAGCAGCTTGCGCCCCCTCCACACACACCCTCACCCCCCCTCACCCCCCTCCTGCGCCCCCCTACCTGCTCATCGGCCCCTAGCCCTGGCAGCTTATTTTCAACCTCTGCTGCCGCTTATACCTCGACCACATGTGCACGGCGGCCGGAGCCGTGCCACGAGCGAACAGCAAGCGCCAAGCAGCGCAACCTGTCTCACCCGAACTGTCGATCCATTCACGGCCCCAGCAGCAACCTGTGCCTGCCGTCCCGAGGTTTTGGTCCTTGATCTTGCACTGCTCACAATAATTCACAGTATCCGCATAGCTATTCGCACATAACTCTCGGCTCTCGCACCTGAAAACAAAAGGTCCTTGAGTCCCCATACAACCCCGTCCCCCCACTTATCCAGCAATGCGTGCGCCATCTCAAAGAAGGAACCTAATGTTCCCGAGAGCTCAGCAGAGGTTCAAACACGTTGCATTCTTATTCCTCTTATCACATCCATCAACCCTTCGGCACCTTTTCTTCTTTCCCACCTCTGTTGGCCAATCGCTGAGTGTCCCATCAATGGCAAACCGACGCAGGCGACCTCCCTCCCCATACTGCCACGCCAGCTTGCCCCTCCTCAACCATTCCTACACTTCAAAACCAGTTCTGGTTCGCCCACCAATCGCTGCCGCCTGCGGGGTGCAACTGCACCGTTTTGTCCCTCGGAGGCGATCTCAGCCAATGTATTCTAAACCCCAAAGCCGTGGCGAAAACATACCCAGGGTCTTTCCAGGGACCCCCCTGAGCATTGCCCATCGGCCCAATCGCAGGACCCGCCTCAGTCTAGCCAACAACACACAACAATCGACAATGTCGTTGTTTCGCCGACCATTGGTTGCTCAAATCGTCAACACCAAACAGTCAAAAGTCAATGTTGACTGTTGGCCAGTCGAGAGCCCGTCTCCCCCTCCCGCCGGTTCTCCTCTGCGAAGGAGGTCCTGGAGGACCAGCGGGCCCCGGGGCCCATGGGGGCCAGGCCCGCGGGCCCACCGTCCCACGCCATCCACCCCGACGCGCACCTGGCGCCCTGCGAGCTGCGGCACCCCCCGTCGCCGCCCAACGGGTCGGAGCCCCGCAGCAGCAGCTCCCGGAACGTCTGCCGCGATCCGGGCCCGCGGGCCCAGGATTGGTCCCCGGGACCCGGCGGGCCCCCGCTCCACTCGCCCCTAGCCTCGTCCATGTCCGCGCAGGCCATCGTGAACGGCACCGTCCGGCCGGCCGGCCCTGAGTCCTCAACTGGGGTCAACGCGGCGAACGCTGTGGTCAAAGGAGTCAACGCTGGATTCAACAAGGTCAACGCTGAGGACGGGCGGCAGGGGCCGGGCGCCTCCGCGCTGGCCAGTGTCCGCGGGTCCACCGCCAGGGGGAGGTTCGGACCCGGTCCTGCAGGCCTGTAGTCGGGTCCCGGCTGGGGGCCCGCGGGCCCGCAGATGGGTCCCGCAGGTGCCCAGCCGGCGCCCGCGGGCCCGACGGCCTCCGCGCTGGAGTGCAGCCACAGCGCCGACATCCGCTCGGCCAGCTGCCCGGAGTCGCAGGATTGCATCACCTGGGCTGGCGGGGGACCCAGCGCCCACGCCGGCGCCGCGTCGATCGGCCCCCTCGCGGACGCCGACCGCTTCAGGCCCAGCGCGCAGGCCTCCTCCTCCACCCGCCGCCACCCCCCCGACCTCGAAGTCGATCCGTCCGGCCATGCCGATCCCTCCCCCTCCCCGCGCGAGCTGCATCCGCCCTCCGCCGAGGCCGGCATCGAATCCAGCGGCTGGAAGCGCCGCGGTCTCGGCTTGGATGCCTCCGCACAGCCGCTGGCCCTCCGCTTGTGCAGAGCCTGGCGGGAATCCAGCCCACCCTCTCCTTGCGAAAACGCCCTTTTCAGGCCATTCTCTGGTTGAGAAAACGCCCTCTTCATCCCGTTCTCCGACTGAGAAAACGCCCTCTTCAGCCCCTCCTGAGATTCCCGCCTCGCCGACGCCCCCTTGCGTTCGGACAGCGAGTACCCGGCCGACCGCCGCCCAGCCCCCTGGTCCGGGGGCCCGCGGCTGTGCCCTGGGGACCCCCCCGGCCCATCAAACGCGCGCGTGATCTCCGTCAGGCTCGAAAAACTGTCCTTGAGGGACTGGGAGCCCGACATCTTCACCAACAGCCTGCCGTCTATCTGGGCCACGATTTGGGGGCCGTCGCCTGGCTCCTCCAGAAAACACGGGCCCATTCTTTTGGGTCGAAATTGGCAGACTGGCAGGCCGCAGAGGTACTTCGAGCGCATCTCCGTGGCCTTGTGCTTGACAAGGACGGGAAACTCAACCCAGGACTGGGACATGGCGTCGATGACCACTGCGCTGGTGTCCAGGTGCACAGTGCCCTTGTTGAGCAGCAGGGCAGTGTCGACGACCTTGGAGGCAGCAGCGTTGATGGCGGTGCGGCGGGTGATCTGGGTGGCCTTGCGCCAGTGGATGAGGTCCCACAGGCCGCTGGAGCCCATCAGGAGGCGGGCGCCGCTCTTGGGGAGCGTGATCTGGAAAGCCCAGTGCCATGTCAAGCAGGGTTGCTGGACCGCTGTTCGGCGCTCATTCCAATGTGATCAGCCAAACATGCTTCATGCGCAGCAGAATCAGTGGCAAAAATTTTTGCTCCTTCTGATGCTGTCAACCATAAGCCATCAGACAAGTTGGCTGGTTCGTTGTTAGAGCTCATTGCAATGCGAATGGTTAGCGTGGTTCTTTTGCAGCAGCATCAGTGGCAGAAAATGTGCACTCATTCTAACACCATCGACGTGGTTCACTTGTTGCTCGAAAAATTGTCATCTGCTGCACTGTGACGATTTTGGAATGCTTGGAATGTCAAATTCAACCTAAACCCCTAGGCACTCCCAGACATTATCCCCCTCTGCGCATGTTTTCTGCCACGCACACTGCTGTGCTGTGTGCTAATCATCTTGCACTGAGACACTCTGCATTATCTATCACAGCAAGGAAGAGCATCCATAACACTTTAGCTCAGGAGGGGGTGTCCTTTGGCATTCATTATAATGTATCTTATATGCCCACCCACCCACCCCACACCCACACCCGGCAAGCACCCAAGCAAAAACACACACGCACTCACAAAACATTCAGTGACTTGAACAGACACCAATTCTTATGCCTGTACGACATACTTTTCCCTCAAACACACAACTGCTATCAGTGGCATGAACGGGCACCAATTCCGATGCCAGCGGGGCGCACCTGACATATGTGTGGGCATGGCAGCACATGCTCCCCTGCCTCCACATCCCCGATGGACCTAGAAACCTTCAAGCCGCCCGGCCAGCACCGCACAGGCCCCAGGCCCTGCTCACCCGGCTTCGCCGGCCCCGCTATGTCTTCTGACATCGCCGCCAGCAGCACACCAGCCGCGACCAGCCGCTTGCGCTCAGCCTCATTGGATTGGATGCTGTGGTTGACAGTGGCCAGAAAGGCGTCCGTGCCGGTGTCCACGACGGTGTCAGCATCGCCAACATTGGCCACAGTCAGTAGGCGGCCACACAGGAGGGTGACGGTCATGGTGGTGCCTGCATGTTGGATAGGGCGCAGTATTCAGCTCAAAGGTATCGACACTGTTCTCCATGGTGTTTGGAATTGATTCGATGTTCCGAGTTCAATGTGATTTCAGGGAATTTCAACCAGAGGTTACCAGTTGGAAGGCAGGCAACGAGGAGGGCAGCGCTCGTGTTCATGCCTGCCTGCCCGATTGCACTGCAGACTCCACCCAATGATGACCCATGTCTTGATAAGCAGTTTCCAGTAATAAATTCAAGTCATGATAATCTTCAATATGTAAGAAGATTATATCACTTTAGCTGGTCTGGAATTACTGGTCAGCAGCAATTTGCACAGCACAACAAGAGGCCCCTGTAGACACTATACTAAATGGTGCCCCCCCCCCCCCCCCCCCCCTTTCCAAGATGACGATTGCACAGCATTCAAAAGTTCAGGGCACTCCCCTTTCCTGCTGAGGACAGCATTAAATCCATATTGATAGAGATGTGGGTTTGTTACTTTGCACACGGGATATGATGATGTATGGCTGACAGCAAGACTGACAGTATGACAAGGACTGCATTTTGCTACAAGTGAACATTGTCAATGATATGTCATATTTTCATTATTCTGCAAGGTTTACAAATAACGCCTATTGTATGTATTTCTCTACAGGTATTTAGATACACAGTGATATGCAGTGTTTCTTGAGTCGAAGGTTGACATGACGGTTGATGCTGGATCAATTACATTGATGTAACCACTGCCAATCGCATGCTACTGGAGCACACACAGTTGACTAATTGTTGAGTCTGAGTACAAGGGGCTAGTTGGGGTATTGTGTCATACCATACTATATTGTAGAAATTTGTTCAGAATGGATGAACAACAGAAATTGTGAGTCGCATCTGTTGTGATTCTTTTTCCATTCCTTGCTCGAATGTGGATTTCATTGGTACAATAAACTTTGTGATTTCAATGAGCAAAATCATTGACATGCTGTTTTTTAACAAACAACACAGGGAGCTGAGATTGCCTACATGCCTTGATGTTCCATGTTGCCTGAATGCCAAGTTCATCACACCAGAATCTCACCAAGTTACCTGGCTAATTTCCTTCCTCTTACTGCATAACCAGAGAAAAGAGAAGGACAAAGCGGAGACCAATACTACAAAATGGATAATAATGAAGTCCAACCAAATCCAGGTCGCAACGAAAACGTTCACCAATGGCATTGAAGGATATTGCCACCAGTGCTGCAAGGGTGTCGGGTGAAAGCACCAACTCACCAGATTTGTCTTCGCTGAACTCCACAATGAATCTCTCCCCGATCTTGACGAAAGCATTGACCAGGGCAGTCCTCACTTTCAAAGCGAACTCCTCAAAATCTGCAAAGCCGGCCACAGGATTCAGAAGCTGGGGCAACTTTAAGACCTGCTCAGACATATGCGATGCCACATCATAAACACATCTCAGGCACCAATGCCCTTCTCTGTACATTATCGCTTCACACGGAGACAGCACTCTGCCCGGGCCCTCAATCAGTGCCACCATGCACTAGGGCCTCCAATATTGATATCTCTGGCAATGCCTTCAGGCACCTCCAAATACTGGCAGGTTGCCATACAGTTGTGTTTACGTTCTGGAAATCAAACTGCACCGCAGATCTCCTGATTGACACTTGAGTCACCAACATCAGCTTCTGGTCTAAATCATTTGACTACATTCAACTACATTTGTCCTGTAGAGACATGGCAAATCACTGCCCTTACACTGTGGAAGTTGTGCGGGCTGCAGTCTGTGCAATTGATGGTCCATTGCCCAAGCTCATTTACCCATGCCCACCCCCCTTCCTTGCTTTAGATGATGCAAGGTACTACCTAGTTGTGGCATTATGCTGGGAAAGCACTTCTGTTAAGAAAGCATTAACATTTGCACCTCTTCCCCTCCCCCCTCCCCCCTCCCCCCTCCACCCTGAGGAGTTGATGAACAGCTATTTGGACAAACTGCATCCCAAAGCACTGTGCTATAAAGTGGCAGCCAGATTGTCCATCCTGTGAAACAAAAGATCAGAAATCCTTCTTCAATACAGGCGTTGTACTTCGTCCATGAAAAGTCCCAAATCCCGGATATGAAACTGGACATAGGTCCCATATCTTGGATATCAAATATGATCTGGGTGCCATATCGTGGACAACCATATGCTACATTTGTACGCTCCATATCCTAGGACGCGGGTGAGGATATTGCCATACCTTGAGACACAGCCATCCTTGGATATGTTTATCCAGGATAGTCAAATTATGTACAGCGTTCCTAGACCTAGAAAAAATGTAACGTCTTGTACCCTAAACCAAATTCTCAATAAAATAATGACATGTGGGTGGGGGATAGTCGCAGTGCTGTGCATCATGACTTGCTGTTGTTCAAAATTTAGCACAGCCCTTAGATTTTCAGGGGTACAAGCATATATTCAAACGTCAATAATTACTGCGCACATTCTACAGAACAAAATATGCATATACATGCACAGGCTATCCACAAGAGAATGGGCGTTGTGACTCACAGGAGCAGCGCAACGTCACCACACTCCTTTGCATGCAGCCACTCCACCAATACTCACACGGAGAGGAAGTGAGATGCTATTTACTAAACAAAGTCCCCAGTACATTAGGCGCTTTCCCCCGTCACTCCCACACTTCCCAGTACTCCCAACCCTTTATTTACCATTACCACTACTCCTAGTACTTCCACTATTACTACCATTCTTGGTAGCATTCCATTACTAGCACCACGCCAAGTACTTGCACGATTAGTACCTGCTCCCACACTTCTGATATTGCTGCCACTTCCAACACTTGCCTTATTAGTACACTTCCCTACACACTTCCCAGCAACACTTCCCTCGTTGGTACCACTCTTGGAAGCACATCCGTTATTGGTACCACTTCCAATACTTGCGCCATCAGTGCCACTCTTAGTAGCACTTGCGTCACCAGTGCCGCTCCCAGCACTCGCGCTCTTAGTACTACTCGCACCACTTCCGTCATCAGTACTACCCAAAGTACTACGCAAAGCATTAGTACCACCGCCCGGCCGGCGGCGTGCGACACTTCGGCCCTGCCGTACATCAGTCACCCAACCACGCCCGCCAGCCCCCACACGCACGGGGCCCAAATCACCCCTACCTGCGCTTCGAATGTCCGGCAGAGGCGCCCTGGGAAGCATGGGGCCCAGCACGCGCCACAGGTGCGCCCTCACGTAGTTTGCGGCCTCCGGGCCCGCGTGGCCGTCGCAGACGCAGTAGAGCGACCAGGGCGGGCCGCCGCGGGCGCCGCGCAGCCGCTCGTGGACGAAGACGACGTCCTGGGATGTCGGCATGCGGGGACATGTGAGGGCGGGGTTTTGGCGGGAAAAGCGGGGATTTTGGCGGGAAGGTCGAAGATTTTGAACAAAACTAGGGTTGAAGGGGTCGGGGCGGGTTTTCGCGGCAAGATGGAGGGTTTCGCCGGGAAGAACGAGGGCTGGGAGAAATCTGGGGTTGGGCAAGTCAGAGCGGGGTTTGCCAGGAAGATCGGGTGTGTTTGTGGAGAAATCTGGGCAGTGGTACTTTGGAGCGGGTTGGGGAGTTTTTTGTTACTTTGAGGAGCATTTTTGGGCCATGTTGGTTGGGGTGGCTGGAGAAGGCTGGTGATTGGTGGGGGGGAAGTGGTGAGTTCTTGGAAGAGCTGATCTACAGAGTTCAAGGGCAGGGAACCGGAGTGGAGTCTTTGGTTGGGGTGGGGGCAGCCGCGCGAGCGGAAGACACGGGGGAGAACGAGCAATGTTGTCGCGGGCTGTGGCCGAGATTCAAAGCGCGGCAGGCGATGAGCAGCTGGCAAGGGATGGGTTGTGAGCGGCGAGAGCGAGACACGCGGTCGATCGACGCGCCCAGGGGGTAAGTAAAGCGAACAGGGTAAGATCGCATCAAGTCGGTCATTCGCCTCGGATCGAGACAGGGCGCCGGGGCAACGGAAGGGGGTCCGACGAACGTCGGATGACTCCTCCGGCGAGGGGAAGGGGGGGGTGCAGCGCTGCCTCGGCGGCGGCGGCAGTCGTCCGCAAAGTCTCCCGGCGCACCTCCTCCTGGAGCAGCCTCTGGCATGCTGAGTACTTGGTCGCACGGTCCTCCGCACCCGGCCCCCGCGGCGCCCGCGGAAGCCCGCGCGGCCGGCGGCCCGACAGCAGCGGCACCGTGCCGATCTCCACGCTGCCCCTCGCCGCCATCCCGAGCCCCTTCACCTGGCGCCCGCCGGCCGCGACAACCCGATGTGAGCCACCGGGGCCGAACGAGGCTGGGCCGAACCGCAGACGGGGAGGGGGAACGGGGGGTCCCGAAATAGCGGCCGCTCACCCGATCGGCCCACGTGGTGGTGTCCGCATTCCACCCCAGGCGCCTGGCGCTGCCTGGGGCCTGCTGTGTGTTGGGCGGGTGGCCGTGGAGCGTAGCTACGCCTGCAGGTCGGTCGGCTGTGGGGAGAGGGGGGGTGGGGGAGGGTGGGGTTGTTCTGATACGGGGTGGCCACCGCCCCCGGCCTGGGTGCCCTGCGAGGCACCCGGTGCTTGAAATGGCGGACTGGGTGCGTCAACGCCCGCTTCGGCGCCTGCGCGGCCGACTGGTGCGGGCTTAGTAAGGGGGCGGGGGAGGTTTAGTAAGGGCCCGTCACCACGTGGCCGGCGGGCGGGGGGCCGGCGAACGAAGAGAAACGGGGACGGGGGTTGTGAGAGCTCTCGGAGGAGGGCTGACGTTTGAGCGGGCAGAAGCCCATGCCTAGGGTAGTGGTGGCTTGGCGGTTCAGAGGGGCTTGATTCGCTTTTTTTGGGGGGGGTTGTGATTTGGGGCGTGGTGGCCAAGGGGCCCAATCGGATCGCGGGGTGGTTATGCAATGCATGGCGTCGAATACCGGATTCGCTTTTTTTAGGGGGGGTTGTGATTTGGGGCGTGGTGGCCAAGGGGCCCAATCGGATCGCGGGGTGGTTATGCAACGCATGGCGTCGAGTATCGGAGTGTGGCGTGGGGTAGGGTGGTGTTGGGGTGTCGGCCCCCTGATGCTGAGATATTAACATGATTTTGGCAAAACCTGCTAGTTAGGTAACACTGGTAGGGTGACGGAAACTAGGGAGAAGTGGCCCAAACTGCCCCTTGCTTTGTTTGGACAACTCCCTCGATTGTCCAGCTCATCGCTGGCAGCCCGATTTGTAGCGTCCTATCAATCCTTTGTTAACCCGGCGATATTTAAAATAATCCACCGTCAGTCAAGCCACACCTGCCCACAGTACAGTCCAAAGCACAGCGGCAGCCCGCAATGCATCGATAGGCCCACTGCCACGTTGGCATTCAAACACGGCCTTTTCGCGCAACCGCAAGCCTCGCAACGCCAGTTGCGCGCCCCTTGGATGAAGGGTAAAAATCCGACACGGACGATTGGCGCCTCTTGCTATTGGCGCGCCGCGAGGTTTGAAGGTGTCGGTAGCAAAGTGGGCATCAGGGAATGAGCCAAGCGAGCACAGGTTGCGAATGCAGTGAGCACAAATGTGACTGGCCCCCGCCAATGACAAACCCTCGGTAACAAGACCAATAGCACTAGGAACGGAGCGGAGGCACAATGCAATGCGGCAGCGCTGCACGAGAAGGGGAGCTGTGTGGATTGCAACAACCTAGAGGTTGCGGGAATGGGGACATGGGAGGCGCCAATCAGGGTGCGGAGCTCGCCGCGCGAGGTGCAGGAGCTCGCACCGCATTGGAGGCACACATTCCGACCACCTCTGGGCACCGTTCCAAGGTGGCGCAGCCAGCGGGAATGGGCTCCCATTACACGCGGGTTATGGCACATAGCTCGTTCCTCCTAGGCGCTCTTTCCCACTGACTCTGGGAACTGTTCCAAGGCAGCACAAGCAGTGGCGATGGGCGTCCGGGAGGCGCAGGTGATGGATAGCGTGCAACCCTTCCCCCCCTTGCGCCCACCCACACCACCCCGGGGGGCCGTTTTATGCTGGCACGCGCAGTGGGAATGGGCACCCATGAGGCGCCAATCAGGGCACACAACTTGCATGTCACGGGCGCCCATTCCCACTCATCGCCTGGTGCATCTCGCTGCTCGCGGGGCCCATTCCCACCACCCACGTAGGCAGTCCTTGTGTGAGGGGAGCCCTAGGGGGTATGTACACTAGCGCAGAAAAGGGGTTTGTCTTGTATATTAACACGGGAGAAACATTGTATATTATAGGCACTGGGCATTGTACAATAAGGCTCTTTAGAAGTGCTGTATAGTGGGGTTTACTAAGGGCAACTGGGCTGGGTAATGATGAAATAGACAAAGGGGATGAGTGCCGTATTGGTCAATACGGT